AACTGGTAGAGGATTCACTTCAGCTGTGTTTTGGAATTGCTCCACCTCCTGCTCCTTCAAGACCAGTCAAGGTGTACGACAGGGAGCTATTCTTTCACCTTTCTTGTACTCCATATATGTCAATGACCTCCTGCATCAGCTCTCCGTCTCTGGCTATGGTGCTACAAATGACGGCACGTTCTGTGGCAGCCTCATGTACGCTGATGATCTGGCACTAATCGCGAACAGCAGCACTGATCTTCAGGCCATGCTTGAGATTGTTTTCTCATACTCAGTTCAGTGGCGTTACCAACTCAATGCCCAGAAGTCTGTCATTCTAATCTTTGGTGAATCAGCAGCAACTCTTGCCCGAAATCGCCCATCTCGTCAGTGGCTCAAAGGTAGTGAGGTCATTCCTGAGAAGGTTTTCGATCTGTCTCCTCATCCTCTAACCCTCGTACCTCAGAGTGCTGCAGTTCCTCAAGAAGGGGCTTCTTCTCCCTCAATGCCCTTGGTTCACGCGCTGGCTGCCTCCATCCACCCACTTACATCCCTGCGCCTGTACAAAGCATACTGCCTCCCCATTCTCCTGGACAGGTGTGAAATGTGGTCTCTCACACAGGCAGAATTGATGTTACTTGAGAGAACCCACAGGAAGATCCTGCGCACAGGGATGCCCATCCGCTGTAAGTCATTGGCTCTCCAACAGTCACTGGGAATCGCGAACATCCGTACCCTGATTCATCGACACCAGCTGAACTTTGTACACTCTTGCTCCACCACCCCCCCATGACTCTCTGCCTCGCATCGTCTTTGAAAAGTGGTTGTCTGGCCCTCTCTCCCCTTGTATAGTTCTCTATCCACCTTTCAATCTCTAGCTGAGCTTTACGACCTGCCATCCATCCCCAACAATCTTAACAGCCAAGTCTCCTGAGCTCAGTGGAAGGGCCAGATCCTTCGTATCACCACAACCTCCGATCCTTCCGTCTATGCTGATGAATGTGTCCATCTCCCTCTCTCCAGCTATCTCCCTCCTTGCCTCGGGAAACTGTGCCCTCACTGGCATGTCACCCTAGGTTTCCCCATTCTGTGTAGGAAAAACATCTCCAGGATGAAATTACTGCTGAATTGGTATGGGATCAATCGCCTCTTCCTCTACAGACTTCTGTCTCCTCTGTAATTCAGCAACTGAGGACGCCCTCCACCTCATCGCGAACTGTCCTGCCCTAACCCCCGCACGAGGTGAATTTGTCCTGCCCCGCCCTCTTGCTTCCACAAGTGTCTCGGACCCTGCCCGTTTCGTCTCGCTCATCCTCTGCACCGAGTGGTTGCACGACACCCCCGAGCCGCACGCATGCATTGAATTCCTTCATCATATTCTATCTGCTCGCACTCGACTTTTATCCTGATTCACTTTATCTTCGCCTGTGGTATACAGCTGTAAGGGTACTAATGTCGACCACAGCACCCACTGACTGTTAGTATACTGTATGTCACCTATCCTGGTCATGTTATGGGTTATGTGTGTAACCATCACTGTACCACCACTCACCACAACTACAAGTAAGTCACCTATAACTCTGCTGTACTGTAAGCCAGATCACAATTTCTGGGTCGCTACAGTGGTAGCAGAGGATGGTTGACCACCATGTCTCAGTGCTGAAACCCTTCGCTAGTGGAGATGCCGCAGAGTGGTTCAAGCGGTTCAACATTTGCAGCCAAGGGACTGGAGGACCGGCACTAACTGAACAGGGGGCCGCTCTAGCAGCGAACAGAGATGCGACAAGCGAACATCTCCGGGCAGTCGCAGCCGGCCGTCGACGCTGCTTCGGCTGTGGACAGTTGGGAAACTTTCTCCGCGATTGCCCTTTCCGACCGGGCGTTACCAGAACACGGAGGTTCTTCTCCTGTGCACAACCAGGACACATCGCGAGGAACTGCCGCTCGGGAAACGGCCGTGGGGCATCCACGCATGGCAACGGACGCACCGCACAACGATGAAGCCCAACATCATTGTCGTAGCTGCCGTAAAGAACAAGACAGCAACCACGGCAGGGAGTATTGGAGGGGTCGAAGTGGAGGTGATGCTGGATGCTGGTTCATCTGTCTCATTAGTTCGACAAGAGGTCCTGTCATGATTGCCCAGGATGCAGCCCGGTAGCTCCGGAGCTGGTGATATAAACTCGTAACAGCTTCGGGAGAGCCCCTGCAAGTATTGGATCACGTTCAGGCGTCAATAAAGATCGAAGTCCTCGAAAGTCCCCACGATTTCGTGGTAGTTGAAAGCCTGGTCAGCCACGAAATTCTTGGAGTTGATTTTCTGCATAACAATGGACTCGTACTAGACTTCCATTCTACCTGTTACTGTTCACACAAGCACATCAGCCCCAACTTCGACAAACGATGTACCACAATCTGAAGAACGAAATGCAAAGGTCAAGAATTTGTGCTGTCAGCAAGGTGGAACCCCCAGTGTTGACATAGTTGATGAATGTGCCGTACCCCACTTCCACCATATGAATATCCACAATGTCCAAACAATGGGCTCAAGGAGATCGTAGGTGACTATCGATCCCTCTTTCGAACGACGCCTGGAGCAACAGAAATTGCCTGCCACTATATTCCAACAACAGGAACCCCGGTGCGAGTACCCCCTCGACGAATCCCGGCACACTACCGACAGGAAGTTGAGAAGCAAATAGACAAGATGTTGTAACAGGGAATCATTGAGGGAAGTAATAGCCCTTGGATGGCACTGGCCGTGTTTGTCCCTAAGAAGTCAGGTGAAATCCGCATGTGTGTTGATTACCGGGAACCGAATAAAAAACAAAAAAAGATGCTTACCCCTGCCGTTGCCGGATGAGGTCCAAGATCGCCTGGCCAAGTCCACTGTATTTTCCACGCTCGATCTTCAAAGCGGGTATTGACATCTCCCTCTAAACCAGACAGGCAAGGAGAAAACAGCTTTCTGCCCCGGACCAGGAATGGGTCTCTATCAGTTCTGTCGAATGCTGTTTGGGCTTACGGGAGACCCGAGTTCATTTCAACGCCTCATGGACACGGCCCTCAGAGGATTGCTATTTGTGCTCATCTACCTTTATGACATTTTGATCCATTCGCCAACCCTGGAACAGCACAAAGAACATTTACGCGCAGTGCTTGAGTGCTTATCTAAGGCTGGCCTAACACTCAGGGGCAGCAAATGCCACATTGGTCTGCACAAAGTCTCCTATCTAGGCCACACATTTTCTGGCGCAGGAATGGAACCAGATCCCAAAAAGATAGAAGCCATCACGGCATGGCCAGTTCAAACTGATTTGGCAGGGGTTCGGAAGTTTCTCGGCCTGGCATCGTATTATCGCCGGTACATTCAAAACTTCGCCAACATCTCGGAGCCACTCAATGCACTCACCAAAAAAGCAGCCTCAGTCAACTGGACCACAGCCCGCGCGGAAGCATTCGACACGCTAAGAATTAAGCTCTGCCAAACCCCCGTTTTAGTCTATCCAACGTTCACCAAAGATGCGAGCCCATTCGTTGTGCTCACAGGTTCCAGTGCAGTCGGCATTGGAGCAATCTTGGAACAAGATGGACATGTAGTGGCTTATGCCAGCCGCAGTTTAAAGTCAGGTGAAAGAAATTACAGCGCTATTCAACGAGAGTGCATGGCTGTCGTCTATGCATTGAAACAATTTAGCCACTACCTACTGGGACGCCATTTCAAGGTGTACACCAACCACGCCCCACTGCAGTGGCTCTCAGCGCAAAAAAGGGTTGTTATGCCGCTGGGCACTAGCCATACAGGAGTATGACTTCACCATCTCATACAAAAAAGGAAACGAGAATAAAAATGTGGATGCCTTTTCACGGCTCCCTTGTGCCGTAACTACTGTTTCACACCAAGACCAAATGGTGAAAATTCGACGGGCGCAGCGGGCAGACAAAGTCCTTTCTACACTACAGAAAGTTGTACAGGTGACGGACCAGCTTTGGAATAAATACCCTTTGAAACGCTACTGGCAGTTGTGGCACCAGCTTACAGTCCGTAATGGTGTTCTGTGCCGTACCTACACTCCGAGCCCTCTACAGGATGAAGTAACCGTCCCGGTCCTACCACCAAGCCTACGCCAAGAGACTCTCTACCAGTGCCATGATCTCCCCACGGCAGGCCACCAGGGAATGGAAAAAACATTGGAACGACTGCGGAAGGAGGCTTACTGGGTTGGTATCACAAGAGATGTAGATAATTATTGTCGAAGGTGCCTAGTATGCCAAGCTGCAAAACATGTGACACCGACTAAAGCCCCACTGGTCAATACTCCAATTGGGTGGCCATGGCAAATGGTTGTAGCAGATATCCTGGAAGTGCCACTGTCAACCAATAACAACTGGTATCTTCTTGTCGTACAGGACTACTTCACTAAGTGGGGTGAAGCAATACCACTGCCTGATCAAACAGCAAGTCGAATCGCGAAAGGAGCTTACAAAGATATTCACCACATATGGATGCCCGGATATCTTTCACTCGGACCAGGGTCGGAACTTCGAGAGCACTGTCCTCCGAAGTGCATGCACTGAAGGAATTGGGTATCCTGAAGACCAGAACGACAGCATACCATCCACAAGGGGATGGAATGGTAGAGCGTTTCAATCGGTCCTTACTACAGCTCCTACGATGTTACGTGCAACGTCAGAATGACTGGGAACAATACCTTCCCCTTGTCTTGTATGCCTACCGCACCGCACTACACAGCTCAACTGGCTGCTCCCCGTTCGAGCTGATGTTTGGACGCTAACCCTCAACACGACCCTTCCCGAAACTGACTGCTTCAGACGTTACAACTAACCCTGACACACTGCAGAGTAAACTGGTGGAATTACGGCAGAAATTGCATTAAGATGAAAACACAACCACCCAAGATTTCAAGGAAGGAGATCAAGTGTGGTTGTCACAGCCACAGCAGGGAAACTGGACCCATACTAAGAGGGGGGATGGAAGGTTACGGCAAACTTTTTAAAGTTTTTTAAAAACGTTTATGCACTATGCAATGGCAATACATGTATTAGTGGTAAACACTATAATTGAACATGTACCCATAAAGGATTAAGACATTGTGCTTAAGTGATTGATTAAGTTGTGTTTAAATGATAATAGAGATGTGGCGGAGGTTACAGAGGGAGGTAATGAAGGGTCCCTTGACAGTTGAATCAGCAATGGGCCGAGAATAAAATGTGTCCATGTGAACAGGTTACATCACCGACTGCAACCGGATAGGGAAGAACAGCCAGTTGCTAACAAGACCACTACACCTCCGTGGCGGGCTCCCCAAATATACCATTTGATACTACCACCACCAGCAACCGAGTCCCGACGGTATCCCACCCGCCAAAGAGCTCCTCCTGATCGCTATGGATACTAGTACACACTTGGAACAAGGGGGGACGGATGTAATGTTGACCACAGCACCCACTGACTGTTAGTATATTGTATGTCACCTATCCTGGTCATGTTACGGGTTATGTGTGTAACCACCACTGTACCACCACTACACTACAACTACAACTAAGTCACCTATATAATTTGTAAGCCAGATCACAATTTCTGGCTCGCTACACAGCCAAACATTGTGGACATCCACGTTTAGCGATTCCCTGTCTGCAGAGGCTATCGAAGACTGTTTCCTATCAGAATCAGGCTTTTTGATCCCTGGGTTGGATATACGTACACAGGCATTAGAGCCATGCAAAAATGACAGCCTGAGCACAATATACGTTACATATAGCCCTATTTCCATGCTGCAAACTGGTATAGGTTTCACGGTGCTCAGAGGGAGGCACAAAAACACATACTCTGTCCCTCTGAGGCCTGCTAGATGTTCACTTGCGAGAATTATGACATGCACTCTAGGATGAGCTACAGCAATAGGCTATGGGCCTTTTCACTTAGCAGTGTGGTGAGCACAGCATCACAGCAGCAGTGTGGTGAGCACAGCATCATAATAGCATTCCCGGACTTCAATATGCATAACGAAGACAATTTGTGTGTATTATTCTGACGGAGCGAGTATAACTTTACAGATGAGGTCCTGACTTCATGACTATTCAAACACACACAAGTGTAGTTGCATGACATACAAGTCATTCAGTTAGCTCACTCCCGATAGGTAAAAAGAGCTTTAACACTACAGAAAATTGTGTATAGACACACCGATTATCATGCACCGCTTTGTGCATGGGGCTAAGCAAACACAAGCAGTCCATAGACCTACATTATACAGTGAAAACTTTGCCTTGCTATTCTATCCCTCTTCTCATCAATGTTGTGTCCTGCTGACAGGACTGCTATTTGGCTCATCTTTATGTCATACCTGTCACCAAGTGGAGTGCGTGATCACTCCTTACAATAATTGCAAGTTGAGACTCAGAAAAGCCAGCTGTAACCGTGGGCTTGGGCAGGTTTTCAAAACAACAGTTCTCTCGTGAAACACATATTATACAACATAGCAGCAGAACACTATTTCACATAAGAAGAAGTACATATTTCTAACACGTGCACAGATCAATGACACACAAATGTGTATATAAAGTTTGGACCTGTAGGTTAGCTTGCTCCCACCTGGCAATCACTCTTACGAAAAAAGCTATTACACATGCCTGGCTGTTGATGCTGTCCAGGAAGGTGGAAATCCCGGTTCAGATCACAGCCATCCAACGATACACAGAGTTTCTATTACTGTAAACAACCTTTTCAGTAAATATTACCTTTTGGGCATGAAAGTCTTCAACATAAAACACTTCATCCGTAAATTCATACACATCTTTTGCAGATATTTTGTCCTGTGTCTTTGATTTTGCTCTGCAAAATTGGTATATACACATTATTGAAAGGAACTTGTGATGATCTCTTGACATTGTGACAACACTACGGTGCTAAACAGTGTGTGTACTTACGCATATGGGCAAATGGCATGCATATGCTGAAGTTTTTAAGAACTAACTGCACACACAGGGCTGAACTTAGAAAATATGCTTAAACGTATGAGCAAACGCCCACAAGCAGTAGCATAAACGTAGCAAATTTTCAACAGTAGGTCAGCAACTTTTAAGTTACTACGATAGAACTTCATAGTGGTTTGTAGCTAGCTTAGCTAAAGAACTAGACCTGTGTTGTAGTCCCTGTCCCATTCAAACGGCAAGTATTATGTACCTGCGAGTGCTATGCTAGCTACAAGTGTTTGAGTAGCTAGCTCACGTGTCCATGAAAGCAGAATTGGTGTGGTCACCGAGGTAGAATGCCACAAAACAAAAAATGAGGGGCACATCCTGGCCTAGAATCCGATAGAAGGCACCCCAGAACTGCCCTCGCTATATGTCTAAGCCGGTTAGGCACTTCATGGGAAGTACGCTCGATTCAGCTGCGTTGTAGTCGGTCTTAGATGATTCAATAGTAACCTCTGCTGCGCCTAAGTCTCATCTGCAACCTCATACTAGGCATGTAAGTCTCGGATGTGCTATGAATCGAACCTGTATATATGGCCTCCTGTTCGTCAAAGACTGCTTATATTGATAGGTAGGTAGAATAATTAAATATACAATATTGTAACAGCTTCTTTTTGATGTCCTTTTCTTTGTTGCATGTTTCATAGTGCGAGACGCGAGATTATGCACTGTGCTGTGCACAGAGACACTGGACATTGCTTTGGGCATTTAGGTCATATTACATGCTATACACACAAGGTACATCAAAAGCACTAAGGTGCAAACCCTCGCCGCCTTAAAAACATCGGATCCATACACATGTGCGGTACCACCAATTGATGGGCTGGACAATGCGCTGTCTATTACTCGTTTGCCTCCTGTGAGTAGCTTGTAGAGAATCTGACCCTGGCTAGCTACACGAGTGGATACATGTCTGTCTGTTACCACGTTTTCTGCCACAACGCGCAACGAGAAATCAAAATAGCGATACCAAAAGGTTCAGTGCTACACTGGCTTGATTAATTTGGCGAATTTCGTAAAAGTATTGCGCTCAAGAGATATGGCGTGAAAACCTAGTGATAAAGCCAATATGCAAATTACCACTGGCTTACCTCGAACAGATCCGTTTGCTGTGCGTACCTTAGAGGCACCAGAAGTTGCAATGCGTGGCGTGTACCAACTGCTCGCATGCAGCTAGAAGTGTAACTAGCCCGTGACAGAATCTCAGCGAGCTGGAGGCATGAGACCGCGAATACTATGTAAATAGCCTAGGCCATCAATTATACCGCGCATACTTATGCACGCGTAGTGCGCTTGGGATCAGTATAGAGAAAAATTATCGCTACGTTGCACACAGAGCCTAGTCAGCCCAGTGGTCTAAGGGAACTGTCGTCCTTGGTAAATGAGCGCACAAGAAGTCACAAAGAAAGGCATGTATTGACTCCCGCAAGCTATCTAACTACTGTAGCTAGCCCGTGCCAGACTCTCCGCGAGCTACTAGTGAGATACCACGAGTAAAGGCATGAAAAGCCCAGCCCATCAAAGTGGTACCGCGCATGCGCAGTTCACTGAGGGTTTGCACTTTAGTGATTTTCATTAACCTTCGGCGCGCATGCGCAGCGAGGGTTACAGTAGTTGGTTTGTCTGTGTGTCCGTGTGTCGACGCTTATTCTGCCACTACAGGCTATGAGGTGGCCTATTAGCAATACAAGCTGCTTCAGAACTACGCGAGCCTTAAAAGTAAAAGGGCAATTTTCCTGAAACGACTGAATTCGAGAGATAACCAGTAAAAAAGCCAATATGCATATTAGCACTGGGCTTACCGCGACCTGATCCGCTCGCTCCTGTGTATATACCTTGGGGGCTCAGGAAATCACAACGAATGGCATGTATCGACTCCCGCATGCTATCTACTACTGTAACTAGCCCGTGTCAGACACTCCGCGAGCTACGTATATACGAGCGGGAGACCACGAGTAAACGCATCCAATTAAGCCCAGCCCATCAATTAGCAGTATTGCGCATGCACAGTTCACTGAGGGTTTGCACTTTAGTGCTTTTCATCTTTAAAGCAACCATTCGAGGCTATGTTGAGTGCACCTAAATGCTCTCAAAATACCTCCATTTAGTATACCGTAAATGCTCACATAAACGCCCAGTTGCTTGTAGACCTGGCTTAATGAAGATGGGCGACTAAAGCATTTACAGATCTGTATAGTTGCAGCAGAACAACCATATGTAGCTCCCATTTTTCAGTGAACTTGTTTGCTTTTTGCATATTAGTTACACCTAAACGTGTTTAGTGCTTGCTACATGCTGAGCATTACACCAGACCAATACCGTCTATTCGAAACCTAGTATGATTTTCACCTAGCGTCTAAATAAGATGGGTGTCTATCCAAGTGAATAACTTTTAGTTGTGTCTTCACCATGCAGGTTTGGCTGTGGCAGATTTGGTATTTCACTCGTAGGAAGAGTTAATTTCTCTAATTTCTTGTGAAGGTAGGCTATGCAAGAGGATGACACATGTGGAGCGCATATGAAAATTGAAGGAAACCATTAAAGTTGAATGTGTACCATAAAGTTTACAATTATTAACTTCTTACTTGTCCCGAGAAACAATTTCATAGCTGTCTGTCATGGTAACCTATACAAAGAAAGATGAGACTACGTATGTGACTGTGTACAACATTGAAGCTGCAGAGATGAGAGCACGCATACCTCTGTTTCTGCATACGATACCAACAAGTATTTAACCCCCGGTGCATGCGAATGAGCGAGGGTTACAGTACTTGGTCTGGTGGTTTGTCTGTCCAGCTATTATGGCACTATGAAAATTGACTATTAATCACGGGCTTCTCAGCCGCGCTATCACATCAACACCAACACACGAACTATTGATTTCGCCAAGGATCTACAGGCTACAAAGTGGCATATAGTGATTCCAGCAGCTTGAGCGCTACGGAGGCGTGAAAGATAACAAGATGATTTTTATTAAACAACAGCATTCGAGATATGGCGAGAAAAGCCACTATGCATCCTCAGAACTGGCTTAGTATCTCGACTAGGCTTAGCCCGAGTGCACCATGGAGGGGCAAAGCTATGTACTCAGGGGCTCGGAGGCCTGTGTTGCTCTAAATGTCAATGCTTCACATTATTGCAGCACCTGAAGAGAAACTGGCTTAGTTGACAGGTTTGCATGGTGTAGTCTGGGCAATCAATTGTGCATCAAAATACACAATCCCATTCTTTGTGCCGAGGGCTTGCTAGAGTAGATTCTGCCACTCTCAAGTAGTTTCGCTATATAAATGCTTAGAAAACAACAAGACATGCTTAGTACCAATTGCTTGCTATACTGACTGTATCTAAACATCAAACATCATGGAGTAAGGTCGGTATTTTGTGTGCACCATCACACGTGCATTGTACATATGCATGCTAGCATGAATCAGTCTATTCAAATATACGTAGTGTCAGTTGTGCCCAATTAGCTATGAACAATATTATGTTGAGTACTCAAAAAGTTACAATTTGCTGGGTTTTATAATTGTGCAGAGATACTTTGCATGAGTGGAACAAAGGCACAGCCAGTAAAAATTGGGACCGTCTTTGGGTATAAGTCGGCAATTTTTTCAAGATTTGACGGGATTCTACCCTTACTACCTTTATGCTCGCCGTGCTAGCTCAAACTTTGGTGCAGGTAACCCATCATCCCATTCCAGAGATACTTATTGCTGCATTCGTAAATACCTGGGAGTTAGGCCTTCAACAACTGAGAAACAGCAATTGCTTATGTATTTCGCACATGCACTCCGTTACAAGTCAACACATTCTAAAGCTGTTCACACAGTGGTGGAATGAGGCTAATACTCATGGAAATGAATGAGACACGCCCAAAGAAAGTAGCATGTAGTTTTTTTAGCATTATTGGTAAACCTACCTCTTCTTAGTTTTTCAGAAGACCAGTTCGTAATTCATCGCACCCTTTCACATAAAACACACACCCATAATATTGAACTGCTCGTGCTGTTCGCCAGCATTCCTCTATATAGTAATAGCAGGAAGAAGCAAGTTCTGTGGATTATGGGGGCACCCAAGGCCTTGTAAACTGCAACAGCACGACAAAAGGTGTGATAATTAACCCTCGGCGCCCATGGGCAGCGAGGGTCACAGTACTTGGTTTGTAAGTGTATCTGTCTGTCTGTCTGTTACCACGTTTTCTGTGACTACGCGCAACGAGACGACAAAACAGAGATACCAATGGGTTCATCGGTAACTGGCTTCATTTTTTTTAAAAGGCGACGTTCACGTGTTCAAAAGTTATGGCGTGAAAAGCAAGTGAACAAGCCAATATGCAAATTAGCACAGGCTTAGCTCGACCGCGTCCGCTCGATCTGTGTATCTTGAAGGCACAAGAAGTCACAACGAAGGGCGTGTATCGACTCTCGCATGCTATATACTACTGTAGCTAGCCCGTGTCAGACTCTCCGCGAGCTACTAGCGGGAGACCACGAGTAAAGGCGGCAGCCCAGCCCATCAATTAGTGGTACCGCGCATGCACAGTTCACCTAGGGTTTGCACTTTAGTGCTTTTAAATATATATGCGTTGGGTCTGTAGCCAAAACATCACATCACAACGGGAAGTAAAATTTTAATGTAGTGGTAAGGCACACGTGGAACACGCAAAGCAAGAACACCCTTGTTTAGTTCCACTCTCCAAGCAAGAAAAGGCATGCGTATGCTGTTTTAGGCTCGTTCTCAAAGCGAGAACTGCATTGCCAGGCAAGCTGCTCTGATCCTCAATGGCTGTCACAGAGCCTGGAAGACTACCATGCAGTAGCTCAGAAGTAAAAAAACTACAGAAAAAAACATAGGACAGTGTTTGTGTCAGATCCGTTTGCACTTCGTCAGTGATTCATGGTAACAAATAAACATAGCAGCAACCTACAGTAGCAATGGCAATAATGCACTGTATAACCACAGTGAGCTTACATACGTAGAGTGCACAATAAATTGCCACGTCTACACTACTGGTGATTATGATTTATTTTACAGGACCTGTGGTTATTTGCGAGTATTATAGTGTACGTATCTCACCTCGATCACATTTCGATTTAGAAATCGATCAAGATTGTGCAATCCCTGCTGTCTGTCAGCTGTCGTTTCTTTGGAAGGACCCTATCACATGCAAAAGGGTAATAGACAGTAAAAATTCTCATTCTGAGTAGGCTTAGCTGTATAATGTACATTATGTTCAGCACCCTAGAAATTCCTGGAAAAGAGTGAACGAAGACTTAGTGGTCACTTGCCCTTTTACTGCAATGTCCAGCAGTTGGTAAGTTACCTGGTATCGGGAACAGTGGTTAAAACTCTAGACACGGGCTAGTGAAAAAATATTAAGCAGGCCAATCTAGCAGATACAGCGTAGGGCAATCTAGCAGACAACTTAGACAGGCCGAGTCATTTGGTAGTTGCATTACATGTAAGGTCGTACTGCTTTTGCATGCTTTTACAGCCTGAAAATAAACTAGATGGGCTGAGTACCCGGACAAACCTCAATAACTAGACCCACAGCAGAAAATGTGCATGTGTTAACATTGCAGGAACAGATTTTCAATTACCAGTGGCAGATAAGTCTCCGTCCCAGCTCCATCTATTTTATAAACCATCCTTTCCTCCAACGGTCTTGATAACAGGTCCTTGGCTGGCAGAATACCACGAAGTGTGGCCAGAACATGACCAGCCACAGAGTATGGGATAAGCAGTGTGATAATCATGGAGCCTGGATCATTTCGAAACGTGCGAACTGTGTGAGGGTGGAGTTCTCGCTGCTCAGCCATTGCACGTTGGACAAAACGAGGGGTTACGTAATGTGTGTTGTGAGCCTTGGAGATGAACTTCGACTGCAACTGAGTCAGAGCATGGGAAGCACAACTGCACAGCAGTCACATGACTTATTCCAATTTCCGTCTCGATCTTATCCATGTTGGTTACATATGCTTTTATCTTTTGTTTGAGGCTGTTACTGCCAAACTTCTTGATTACATACTCCAGGAGCTCATACTGGACAAAGGTCCAATACTGATTGAGAACTACAAAAATAGGAGCAATTTCTGTGGCTGCCATAATTACTTTACGGTCATCTGGTGCAAGGAGAATATGGTGACCATCTAGTGATGCAGGCAACAGTGTGACGGCAACTTTGAAATCATTTAAATTTTCTTTTGTTTGGATAGTACTCGATAAATAACGCTGGGTCTCTCTTACAAGTGTTCGAAATCGATTGTCTTTCCGCTTAAGTTTTCCCCTTACTTCTGGATGATGAACTTTATTAAGAGCTGGAGAAGTAAATAACATTTCTGGCAGAGCACACCATGTGAAAAGCGACACGGTTAGTAACAATACATGCTGGTGGGGGGTGAGTTAAAAAATCCCACAGAGCACCAAATTTTCATAACACTTGTTGCCAGTAATTTTTAAATGATCCTTGGTACATGTACCCTCAGTATTAGAGCATAGAAAATGGTTTTAAAAATTGTTAACCCTTGGCGCGCATGCGCAGCGATGGTTACTGTAGTCGTGTTTGTGTCTGTCTGTCCGCTACCCAACATCTCACTTCATGAGCCATATGAATCACTCCACAAACAATACCAGGTATTCAGCCTCGGGTATACGTAAGTCGAAATATGTAGGGTTTTCTCTGAAACAGCTGCGTTCGAGAGTCACGGCGTGAAACACGAGCGAAAAAGCAAATATGCCAATTAGAACAGGCTTACCTCGAGCACGTTCGCTGGCTCTCTCTGTGTATCTTGAAGGCACAAGAAGTCACAACGAAGGGCATGGTATAGACTCCCGCATGCTATCTACTACAGTAGCTAGCCCGTGTCAGACTCTCCGCGGGCTACTAGCGGGAGACCGCGAGTAAACGCATACTAATAGCCCAGCCCATCAATTAGCGGTATCGCGCATGCGCAGTTCGCCGAGGGTTTGCACTTTAGTGCTTTTTCTATCAGCTAAACATCAAATTGTCAACAACAAATCAACTCATATAACACACAACACTATTAAGGCAATAACAATTCAATTTCAAACAGACTCTACAGATACAGAATATGCTTTTAGCCATACCATTCTCTTAACACCTAAAACATCCTTGAACATCCGTCATGCTGCCTATGCTATGCCCATGCATATAATTATTTGGGTTTGTTTCAAGAAGGTGCCCCTGCATGACACTTGTCCGTGTGCCTGTGTGTCCGTCCAAGTGTTTGTTAAATGAGAGAGCGTTGTGTGCGCTATCTACACTACGTCTTTTTTGAGGTAGGAACTCCGCCCGCAGACCTGTGAAACTATAGCCTGCTGAGTCATAGAGATGTATGATACCCCTATGACTCCACATGGTTATGCGGCCACTTCGCTACGAAAGAAGTCAGTCTACAGATATTGTAGAAGGATGGCGACAGCAAAGTCAGTGAGCCTTATCCAGCCCACTAGCTTGTGAAAACTCTTCTTGTAGGACACGTAAACACCTGCAAGCTTCGATAACCATCTTTCCCACGCATCATGCGTTCGCGTCTGTCCACGTCTCTATCAGTGTGTGTGCATTTGCTTGTATTTTCATACGTATAATTAAACGTGCACACCATGCAGTCTGGATGCAAATGTCAAGGTGCATCTGGTGCGTTTTTTTTGTTCAAGGAACTTTTGGAGATTGTTACACAATCACCCTCCATAATTAAACAAAATAATTACAAGTAAATTAAAAATCCTGCGAATAAAAAAAAAAGAGGCATATAGGGATCGTATAAAAAGAAAGGGAGACAAGATAGGGATTGGATACATGAAGCATGGTTAATGAACAGATTTGAGTATGCTGACACCCCCAACCCCATCACACAATCCCTATATTGTTGCCTGGTGTGCTACTCTTATAGGGGCTAAAGGTTACTAAAAGCAAGCATTCTTTCACCTTGTCCCGGTTGTCTTCAGTAACATTTATACTGCCACATTCCCTTTTAAACTCCACTTGGACTCTATAAGGGCGTTGGTTACTCAGTAGTGTATTGTAAGTTCTGAGTATTGTAATGGTGAGTGTTCAATACTTCACCTAGGCAACAATATACGGATTGTGTGATGGGGTTGGGGATGTCAGCATACTCAAATCTGTTCATTAACCATGCTTCATGTATCCAATCCCTATCTTGTCTCCCTTTCTTTTTATACGATCCCTATATGCCACTTTTTTTTTTTAATTCGCAGGATTTTTAATTTACTTGTCTCCACTCATTTTTATATACTACCTCTGTGGAAGGGGGCAAGCCCCTATAAAAAATTTTAATAGAGAAAAAATGCCTGTTGTCGTCACGGAAATGATATGCATAACATGTTTCATCTCCATGTGTGCTGCCGTTAGCAAGTTTGAGGAGTGAAGAAGTAATTTTAAAGAAAGGTTCCTAAGGCTATTTGTTGTTGTGGTCGTCATGGAAACGATGTTACACACATGCGTACCAAGTTTCATCTCCATGCATGCTACAGTTAGCAAGTTTGAGGAGTGAAGAAGATAATTTTAAAGAAAAGTGCCGGAGGCTATTTGTTGTTGTGGACGTCATGGAAACGATGTAATACACATGCGCACCAAGTTTCACCTCCATGCATGCTACAGTTAGAAAGTTTGAGGAGTGAAGAAGTAATTTTAAAGTAAAGTGCCTGAGGCTTTTTGTGTTGTGGTTGTCATGGAAACAGTTTAATACGTGTGTGTATCAAGTTTCGCCTCCATACATGCTACAGTTAGCAAGTTTGAGAAGTGAAGAACTAATTATAAAGATAATCGTCTGAGGTTTCTTCAAACAGTATGCGGTCGTCATGGAAACATGTAGTTGTCATGGAAATGATATAATAGGCATACATACCAAGTTTCATCTCTATGCGTCCTACCATTAAGGAGTTTGAGACGTGAAGAAGTAAATTTAAAGAAAAGTGCCTGAGGCTATTTGTTGTTGTTTATAAATATGTATTAGTTGTGTTTTTGATGTTGAGTATTGAATACATTATGTATACAAAGTTTCGTTCACATAACTCTTACAATTAATGTGAATTACACTAACACATGTATGTCCATTATAATGCATTGCCCATTATAATGTATTGCCTGGGGCAATTTTGTTGTTGTTTACAAACAAAAAAAGTATGACGTTGCACATGTGGTTATCGATACGCACATTCCTACAAAATTTCATGGCTTTATCTCTTTCGGTTTTTGAGTTACGCTGGTCGAAGAAGAAGAAGAAGAAGAAGAAGATGAACAAAACTCCCTATCATAGCCCCATACATCTATGATGCTAGGTACCATGTCAATCCCTATATACTAAGTACTACCGTACTTAGTGATACGCTGTGAGTGACAAGTTTTCTTCACACACACTTTATAACGTCGGTCACTTATAACCTAAATTGCCTTCATATGCAACAATTTCTTGTTCATGGCCTTAGTGCTACGACATGTGTAACCAGCAAGCTGATTACTATTAACTAAAATGACTGTGCATTATTGCACCAAGGGTTGACAATAGAGCGTTCAGATTGTGGTACTTGTGTACTTGGTATATATATACAAGTAAATAAAAATGTTAACATTTTTATATTAATGATGGGTTGCATGTGTGTACAAAGTTTTCTCATTCTGGGTATTTGCTCTACCTAGTTAGAACACTTTATTGGACTATAATTATCATAATGTATGGCCTGGGGCTATTTTTGTTGTTGTTGTTTACAAGTGAAAAATATTGTTATTAAAATGATCTTGTACGCCGGGTCATGGATTCTAATCTTTGTGCAAAGTTTAATCTCCATATCTTAATCAAGTACTGATTATGCGATTTAAGCCATTTCGTGGATGCATGCTCTTTGTGACGATACGGATCAGTCTGATGGGTCAAAAGTTGGATCTGATTGAAACAGAAAGTGAAACATGAAAATCTCCGATGTATGGGCATAATGCAGGACAACCTGTGTAATCCCTATATACTACCGTACTTAGTGACTCTACCCTCACAAGACACAAGAGGGACACAAAGAATGCTTGAGTAGTGGTGTTGGAACAGCCCACAAAGCTTCTAGCTAGCGCCCGAAGCCTCCCATTTGATCCATGGCGGACGTGGCACAAAAACTCCAGACTTAAAGTGTGTTCATTTTAGCACTTTTAGTTGTTCGTGTTTTTGGCTGTTCACGTAATGGCCTGGGTATCTCCCTGGTGTTTCTTAATTCTGCCTTAATTCTGTAGCAGCTTATGTGGCCTGCTTTTAATACCTGCCACCTCCTTTTATACTTGCATGTGCAGAGGTGGAGTGTGCTTTAATTATTCTCGAGGTGGACGTTCAAAAACTGACATAGGTAATACAGACAGACACACGGATACACACACACATGAAGTAAACCTACGTAAGTATGCCCTGACACGCCAAAAAATGATGACCAAACATTCAGTCTGGGCTACTACATTGAGTGTTACAGTGTAGTTACAAGACAGATAGATGGATAGACACACACACAGTCAACACCACCAAAAGTACATCCCTCACATACAGTAACCCTGGTTGCCCCGTGGACATAATTATTATGACCACTGATCTAAAATTAAAGTGCAAATCCTCGGCACACTAGCAAGAAACTCTGGCCTCGTTCCCAGTCCGATATTTAGCGGGGGAGGAAAAACCCAGTCGAAAACGATCGATGCAATTTTTCTGGGTGCCTTAGAAGCTCTTATACACATTAGAACAGATCTAGAACGTCTTTAGGCCACTAGAAAAGGGTTGCATGTAAGCAAAGTTGAAGAACACAGACCTACACAGCCTTCTGTGAAAGGCTGCAGACAAGGTAAGCAAGTGAGGCACATCTGTCGCTGTGAATTTGCAATGTTTTTAGCTAAACAATAGGCTTGGTAATTGTAGCCTATGTGAAAACTGTTTTACGGAATATCTCACACATGCATGAACAGATTTCCAAACATTGAGGCTATAGAAACACGCACGCGGTAAGTACACTCATGTGCTAACTTGATGGGCTGGCCCATTTTACCGTTGTACTGACTCGTGGTCTGTTACCTGGTCGCTGAGAATCGGTAACAGGCTAGCTGCACTACTAGATAACATGTGAGAGTTGATACATGCCTGCATGGCAAATTCTGGTGCCTGCAAGGTAGGTATGAGTAGGCGGACCGACAGGGAATTTTTCAAGGACAAACAACCGAATGGCTAAAACTACCCTTTGCTAGGTAGCCAGACACCACTCTGCTATTACAACAACTCAAGATATTACGTACATCACTAAGAAGTATCCAGGGACAGCGCCATCACATATTTGTTATATGCGGCTGTCAAAAACTATCCCTGTGTGGTTATGTGCTACCATTAATGTTTGCTCATGCGAAGAGATGCACAAAGTTCCCCCGCTAGGTCCAAAGGTCATAGCATGCACTGTGCGTATGGAAAGGCGGAAACTGGGAATGAGGCTAAATCAAACATATTCCCTTGTCTTCTGTCTAACCAAAGTTAGTCCTCCAAATACCTAGGCACATTATGCTGCTTCCAGACACTTACATATGTACATGTACTTACCACTACAGAGACTTGGCCTCACTCTGGAGGAAATACATGTGTCATCACGGTGAGATTCATCAGGATCCGAATCTGATAATGGCACTGAACTTTCTGTAGATGCCAATAAGTAACAGTTTTCAGACAGCCATATTTCCTTTAAACAATGTTGATACCCCATTATAAAGTCAGAATGAAATTATCCAGCATCAAAAACACAACATTACATGGTTGTAAAAAACAACAAAAAAGCCTCAGGAAATGCAACTAAATTGTTGGTCATAACTGGTCAAAGGTATTTTTCATTCCCATATGAAACTTTCTATTAACTTTTCCATGATACTCATTTGACACAGAAGTTGTACGTACTCGCTAATCTGAAGAGCAGTTCTGCACGCAAAAATGTATTAAGAGCCATTTTGATCTCTGAACTCAACCGCGAGGTGCGTTATCGTTGATGACAAGAAGTGAACAACACTAACTACGTGGTCTTAGACGTTTGAAAGGTAAAACAAAGGAAAAAGGAAGGTTCCTACAGTAAGTTTAATAGGATATAGCTTACAATTTGAGAACTCGAGCTTTGAACGCCAATGTGTTCAGATTAGAGAGTCTACTTTCCTCATTCACAAGCAATAAAAGATATTTTTAGGCACAATGCCCATAAAAAAGTAGCATTATATGTTTTCATTGTCTGGGACTTTTGTTTTGATAATATTTTACCATAGTACATCAGTGTGTTTCATTGACCCAGCATAACACCAGTTACAAGTTCCTTATTGCCTGAGACTGTTTGTTTTGGTTGTAATTTATGTTTTGAAGAACTCTTATCATGCATTGGTATCAAGTTTCTTTGTTAGAGGACCCAGCATGAAGGAACAAACACCTTACACAAGTAATACTTTTATCATGCATATGCAAGTTTCAGGCACCAACATCATTCACAAGTTGTTATTGGGCCTGAGGCTGTTTGTTGTTGTTTACACACTTGTAATTTTAAAAATAGTGTACAAAAAGTAATTATCCTAAGCATTGGGTTTAACGTTAGACTAAAGTAGGTAGGTCCTCTTATTCCAATATTCCAATTGATGCACACTTTTACACATGCGCAGGTTGTCGTCTCACTTCCTTTTTATCCCCTCCCTACATTCCTAGGTATTTATAAGAACACACTAAACAACTGCACCTGGCATAATATTTGAGTTACTTGCAGAAGCAGCAGTAATAGAAGAACTGCAACAAAACTTGTCTTCCAACTCCTGGGCCTTTCTTTCCTCGTTAACCACAGGAGCCTTTAGAGCGTTAACCAGGGCATCCCAGGTTGGTTCAGGGTTAATTCCCTTTAGCCATCGGCTCAGCATGCACTGCAGGCATTCCAATGGATTGCCACTCATCGCTTCAAGGTCTGATATTGAAAAACCTAACCCCAGGCCTATCCATTTCCACTTCAATTTGACATCGTAAAGATCATTCAGCAGATCCCAAAGTGAACTTTCATTCAACACGACTGTAATGGGTGGAACATTTCACCCCATGCATCAAAAATCAGTATGTGACTCACCAAAACCTGTGGGTTCACTTCCAGGCCCTGCCATCATCGGTGATAGGCGATGGGACCCGCGCCTGGGGCCTCCGCACCTTAGAGCCTGGGGCAGAGGCCCGGCCAGGGGGTATAACTAGCTAACCACGCCCTTCGCGCGTGGCCGGCTCCCCGCGCGGTCAGGTGGCCGTGTGCAGGTGCAGGGCGTTACCAGGAATCCGCGTATAATTATATATTACGCGCCTCTGGAATGTAAAAATTCCGCGCGGGTGAAATGCATAAACTTTCTTGGAGCGTTTCCTGATGGTCTACCAACTCCGGAGAGGTCCGAACGTCTAGAAGTCAAGAACGACGACTCATCCACCGCCCAAGCACAAAATATTCACCGTCGCAGGGGCGGATCCCATTGAACCGTGTATATACATTTTGAATTTCAAAATCCGTGTGGGTCTAAACCTTTTTTGAGCGGCCATGCTTACTCTATTTTGAGGTCCGAACGTCTAGAACTGTAGAAGAGAGTCTAAAGTTTGAGATGAACAAAAAAAATACGGTAATAATACAAAGTTAATTAAGCGGCCAAATGCAGTTGAAAATCGGTAAAATTTGGATGACGGAAACTGGCCCGTCTGCCTCGAGGATCCGGAAAGACTCCTTTTCTGTGTCTAACGCCACTTACTTACTGTTAACTGAAAAATTCTGAGGGGTTTCTGGGGCAATAGGCCTACCTCTCAAAGAGTTTTCCCCCGCTACTACTAAAGGTTATAAGCTGGCTACTATACAGTCACCTCTCACGCTGATGCGCGTCCATCCGGCGCAACCCGGAACCTCTGTTCGCCCATCTCGCATTGGTACGCTAGCTGCACATCAGTAGTGGAACATTCAAGCCTACAGACAAAAAGGGTTCGGCCAAAACCCCAAGCAACCGCGACCGCGGCCTCTAAGTCGTAACTACCACGGTCAGCAACAAAACGCCCCGCCGCCAGTTCTCACGCAGCTTGCTTCCCACGTGCAATTGACTCCAATGAGTTTTGGTATCCACCAACGTACATTCAAATGAGTGTCAATGACCACATTCACTAAAAATAGGAAAGTGGTTCCTCGGGTGGTTACACTCGGCAAAGGACACGCGTAGAGGGCCGGCCATTCCTTGTTGGATAACACCATCAGAAGGGCAGGCAGACTTCCATCACAACGTTTTTCATATCAAAGCTTCTCCAACACAGAGTGGTGTAGCGAAGAGCTGGCGTCCCACTGCCTTCTTCGAGAAATACTGACTGCGCTTCAGATAGAGATGCCCGTAGCTATGGTAACCGCCGTTCTGTCAGCTTGCGCGACGAGTAAACAAGCTGTTTAGAACGCGTAAAACGAGCCAAATACACCGTGTCCGCTAAACAAGGCAGATTGCTGGTAGGCCTAGCTACAGAATGCAATTCGTTGTGACTTCCTGAGCCCCCAATGTACACAGAGCGAGCGGACAGGGTCGCAGTAAGCCCAGGGAGATTATGCATAAGTGCAAACCGTTATTGGCCTTTTCGGTTGTTTTCACGGCATATCTCTCGAACGCAGTCGTTTCAGGAAAATCGTCCTTTTAATTTTCAGGCTCGCGTAGTTCGCCGCTGGTAGGCCGCCTCGTAGCCAGAATAAGCGCCGACACACAGACAGGCAGGCAACGTAACCCTCGCCGAGGGTTAAAATGAGCCGTCAATCGCGAAAAAAAACTGAAAGAACAAGAAGCGCTGCCGCAGCGTCTCACCGGAACAAGACGTGAAAGAGACAAAGAGAACGTTGGAGGAATGATGTTGGAACAGCCCTAGGAGCTCCTCGCTAGTGCCCGAAGCTTCCAACTTGATCGATCGCGGCCACGCAAACTACCGTCTCATTTATTAGCAACGATTGTGCGTGGGCGTATGTTTCAGATATTTTTTTCAATGGCACAGCAAAAACGCTGGTGATTTATGGTGAATTTAGGTATATTTCTCGGATTTTTCCTACCTTGTTTTCCAAACTCATTAGCATATTCATATTCCTCCTCAATACATTCTCTATGGGAGAGAAAACTCGTGCGCGACTCACCCAGGAGCGAACGGTCCGTCTCCATTATGCGCAGTGGCTTTCTTTGCCTGCTTCGGTACGCGGGAAGCTAATTTTGCGCTATAGAAAAAAACGGGCGTGACCGGGTGGCAAAGGTCAACGTGAAAACGTAATGCTCAAAACTTGGCCACGCCTATTTTTCGGGATGGCTCTAATACGCCTGCGCGTGCCGCAGGAGGCAGAAAGAACGCCATTGCGCATAATGGAGACGGACCGTTCGCTCCTGGGTGAGTCGCGCACGGGTTTTCTCTCCCATAGAGAATGTATTGAGGAGGAATATGAATATGCTAATGAGTTTGGAAAACAAGGTAGGAAAAATCCGAGAAATATACCTAAATTCACCATAAATCACCAGCGTTTTTGCTGTGCCATTGAAAAAATAACTGAAACATACGCCCACGCAGAATCGTTGCTAACCTAATAGAATGCGTTGTACGGCGTGTCTATATAGCTACATGTCGTCTTCGTCCACGTCGTCATCAACGGAGTCTGATGACTCGTCTACCAAAAAACGACGACGACGAAAGTCCTACTTTTGTGGTGACTGTAAGCGTTTGTTACCCAAGTCTACTTTTTACCGCCATCGCGAACTCTACTACGATAAAATGTCGCGAAAGTGGAATGATGTAGGTGTTTTCAGCAACATATAGCTGAGATGATGAAGGTCATCAAATGGACATGGGACAGTCAGAAGGTAATGAACTTGTGAAGCTTTCTGAGTTCTGGAACTGGGGACGGGGCAGTCTGTGCACAAGTGGGACTTCACAGCTTGTTGGGCCTAAGAAGTTATATATAACTAGCTATGTATCTTTCTACAGGTGCCCGGTTCTCAACAAGTGATCATGAGCTTGCAGGCAAGGAAAGTAAGAATCAGACCAGTGAAGAGAGTACCTCAGATTCATCCGCCTCAACGGTAGGTTTACTCTCTGTCTGCATGCATACACTTAATTTTTAGGATGAACTGTGGTCTACAACAGATGATGAAGAGGCTGTCAACCTCACAACCCCTGCCTCTGTGTGGAAGCTTTTGTTTTTCCTAGTTTTCTGGCAAGCTATCTAATGCTGCTCTAGTAAGCCTTTTGTCGTTTTTCAAGTATTTCACAACATTTTTGGGCAGCGCATTTCAATGTCGACCGCTAAAGGATACAGTGAAAGAAATGCCAATGTCTTATGAAATGTTTGTAAGGTATAGGAATGTCTGATAACTGTCTGGAGTATGTTGTGTGCCCAAAATGTAATTCAACGAGTATGAAGATTGTGTGCAAGTAAGAAATGGGGTGAAAAGAACAAAATTATGCTCACATGTATCACATCCTCAACGAACACCATGTAACACTCAACTTTTGAAAAAGGTTAAGACTAACAAAGGTTATTCACTTGTTCCATTCTGTGTTTATCCATACTATCCACTTATAAAATCTTTTGAACGCTTTGCGGCTAAACCTGGCTTTTTTGAGAACTGTGAGAGATGGAGAGAAAGGCGCACTGTGTACCAGAAAATATATTGGGTGATATATAATATGATGGTGATATTTGGAAGGAATTTGGCTCCCACTTTTTAGCCACACCTCATAATTATCTTTTAACGTTAAACGTTGACTGGTTTCAGCCTTTCACACACCATTGGTGCTATATACCTGACAATCCAAAATTTAAGGAGGAGAACATAATTTTAGTTGGAATATATACTTCCAGGTCCGAAGGAACCAAAATTCACTATTAATTCCCTTTCTCCACTTGTCGAAGAGCTAAAGGATTCCTGGTATAGAGGATTTGAAGTTCATACCCCACAAGGTTCCCCGATCACTATATATTCGATTGGCTCTATCATGTGTAGCATGTGACATTCCTGCTACAAGAAAGGCATGTGGATTTTTGGGGCACAATGCAGCATTTGGTTGCAACAAATAGTTTTCCGTTACTTTTGCAAGTCCGACAAACTATTCGGGATGTAACAGAGAGAGTTGGCCACCTCGTACAGAACCTCTACACAGACAACAATGCATGGAGATTTCTAGGGAAACGACAAAAAATGGAGTACAAAGGGCGGAGGGAAAATATGGTGTTCGATGCTCAGTGTTTCTTGGTTTGCCTTATTATGATCCCATTAGGTTTGTTGCTATTGACACTAAGCACAATCTTTTTCTTGGGACAGGGAAGCAATGGGTTGAATGTGGTATTCTTACACCCCATCATTATTATGATCAAAATTGAGGATACGGTTCGATGTTTTAGAGTACCGCCTCATGTTGGTAGAATCCCCTATAGAATATCATCTAATTATGGTGGTTTTACAGCCAGCCAGTGGCGCAATTGGATAACTATCTATTCACCTGTTGTATTGAAACGAATATTAGAACAGCAACATCTTCAATGGTGGTTGTTATTTGTGCGTGCAGACCTGTTCCTTATCACCTTATGTAGAAAATTTGAACACATATATGGAGGGGATCAGTTTACATTTCACATGCATCTAAAGCAGTGTCTTACAGACTTTGGACCTTCACACAGTTTCTGGTGTTTTTCTTTTGAAAGGTTTAATGGACTTTTAGGGTGTTATTCCACTAATAAAAAGGTTATTGAAGTGCAAGTAATGAGAAGGTTTTGTACAGCTAAGGATACATACAACCTCCCATACATTGATTCAGACTTGCAAAATGTTCTTCAAGTTTCCAAAAAGGGCAATAAATCTCTATCTATTTTTGGTGCGGATGACAGTGCTACAATTTCACTACTCAATACGTGCCACGCATCCCTGTCTTCCATATCAAGTTTTGAAAATTGTGGTGTTGTGACTTTGTTACCGCCACTAAAGGAGCAAGTGTTGACATTTGAGGAGTGCTCTCGGCTAAGGAAGATATATACCCAGCTCGTTCCTACGGCAACAATGTCACATATATCACATTTTTATATTCACTGTAAACAAGTGGCACATGGGGGTGACATTATAGGATCAGTCAAATGTGGCAGTGCAAGTTCTGTTATAATGGCTTATTGGCCAAGTCAAGGGGATGATTTGTCGAACATAGACTATACGTCACGAATGAGCGTAGGTGTTG